GTTCTGCATGGAGCACTGGGTGTTATGCACAAACAATGAATCATGGAACACTACACCAAAAACTAATGATGTAATGTATGGTGATTAACATAACATAATAAAAAAAAAGAAGTAAAAGAAATGAGTAGGACTTAGGGATAAACAGATTTAATGCTCAGTAATTCTTGTGCCTCAGTGCTTATCTACATAGTGTTCATATGACATTCCAAAAGACCCTTACTTCAAGGACATCTTGAAAAAAGAAAATAAATGTATTAATGCAACAACAACAACAAAATACCCTCTTCTGACCAGACCAGAGCTCTATTGAGGGAAGCCACCAGGAAAATGGTCATATTAGGTAAAAGAGGGATTCCACTGTACTCTCTCCCCAGGGAGCTACCATCAAGCGCCACGAGATGACAGGGGACATCCTGGTGGCCAGAGTCATCCACGGTGGGCTGGCTGAGAGGAGTGGTAAGCTGGAGCTGCAGGGTACACACGGGACCAGAGAAATAGGAAACCCTTAGTTGTTTAGTCTTTCCAGGGAAACCCCTCTTTCCTAACCACAGTCAGGGCTTCTCTGCATGGCATTGCTTGGTTACTAAGAAGGAGGGAATAAATATTCCAGAAAACCCTGTTCCCTTCCTTCACTGAAGCCCCATATTCAAATCCACTCAGTTTACCTTCTCGTGGTAACCTAACAAGCTAAGTATCAGCATGCCACTCTGTAGAAAAAGAAACTGAGGTTCAAAGAGATCAAGTAAGTGACGTGCTCGAGGTTGCACAGTTCGAGTCAGGATGCAAGTCCAGGTTTGCCCGCTCTATATTCCCATCTCCTGCTCTTCCCCTGGTCCTTCTGCTTTCAACAGGCGTAGCTCTACCCCGACCTTGAAGTGCCCGTTGCTTGCCCTTTCTACCAGCCAACAGAATGTCCTTCCTTTTACTGCTGCGTTTCTGTGCCTGCTGTCCCCCCCGTCACTGCCCAGGGCCCTGCAGAGCTGGCATGAGTTTCATACCCCAACATTCTTAGAGCAGTGACCCCAAGGATTTCCTAGTTGCTAAGTCCCTCGGCCCTTCCTTTGGCCTCAGTTTTATTTTTACTTCTCTAGCACATTCGACGTCAACCATAACAGTCTTGATGTTTTCATCGTCCTTGGTTTCTATTCCGTGACATCATCCTACATCTCATCTCCTCCCCTGACAACTGTCCTGCATACTCCTGTTTCTCAAAGCTGGATCGTGACCCCACGTTCCTCCACATTTCCTCTTGGAAGAATGCCCCACCCCCTTTCTTTGTCATTGATCATTTACTCATGACGCTGACATCTTTACTTTTAGTGTTACTTTCATTTGGCAACATCAGATTAGCAAAAATGAAAATATCACCATCACTTAACACCCAGTGAAGAGTTGTAAAAATGCAGTTCTCTGTGCTTTGGTGTACGCTAGAATAACCAGTCTGTATGATTAGGATTAGGATTATTTCAGAGTAAATTTTTAAATGTTAGAGCATGCTTGGGTCAGTGAGTTTGCTAAAAATCTTTGGTGTAGTTACCTCTATTTTTTTTTTTTGGCAAATTTCCTTGTGCCCTTCTTTGTTTTGTGTTCCTTTTTGCCTAGGGTTGTTATATGCTGGAGACAAACTGGTGGAAGTGAATGGAGTTTCAGTTGAGGGACTGGATCCTGAGCAAGTGATCCATATTCTGGTAACAGTCTTCTGTTTGCCTTCTCGATGACTCAGTACAATGCTGGAGCTGCCCTGAGCCTGTCTGGCCCATGGTGTGGGCACTGTTACATGAGGGGGATTTGGTCCCTTGTGGCAACTTCCTTTCTCCGGACCCCCAGACCTTTTCTGCTTCTGTGCAGCTCAACCCCCAGCCTCCCACTCCAATCTGGTTTCTGCTGGGACACTTCTCTTGCCAACCTGCTCTTTCGGCCTTAGGAAGGCTTCCGGTTTCCCCAGCCCAGGTCCCTTGTTGCCTGGGTTGCTTCTTTGGAAACTGAGCCTGGGGTGGGCAGAGTGAGACTTTGGAGGGGAGTATGAACCTGAGCAAACTACCCTTGTTCCCCTACCATTTTTATACAGCCTAAATCTATTTAACATCTTCCTTGAGGTAGCTTCTGGGTAGGAGAGATGTCCCGGGAGGCTACCCTATGGGGAGGGGGATTTCCTTGCTTGCCCTGCCACTGACCTTGGTGGTTGAACCTGGGGATTTATGACCAGATGATAGTTTCTTCTAGGCCCCCATGCCCACTTTTCAAACCTTTGCCTGAATCACAGTCATAGTGGCATGCCCCTGCCTTCTCCCCCATGCGCACCCCAAGTGTGGGGCCTGAGGTGGATGGCTATTTATTGTATAGACTAGTGGTTTTCAAACTGGGTTTGGGGGGGAACTCTAAATTTTCATAGATGTGCCTCAGGGACTGAGATGAGAGGTGGTATTATAAGGAGTATACCAGGCCCTGAAATATTTGCAAATGACCCCTGCTGCAAGATGCTGCATGGCACGAAGCCACTGCAAATGGAGCTTGAAGTTCTGTCAATCGCAGACACACATGGCTCTGCCTCAGCCATTTTGGTGGTAGCTGCAGAGCCAGGATGGTGGGGTTGTGAAATTTCGAGGAGTGAGGACAAGGTTTTGCTCATCTCTGGATTTGCAGTGCATGTGACAGGAGGATCTTACCTTCTCCATCAGGCTGAGAGATTCTCTGTCTCCTCAAAATGTTTGAGGGCCCCCATTCCCACCATTAGCTTGGCACTTGTCAGTCCCCTCAGAAGACTTGGGAGCCTCTTGTCCCCATCAGACTGGGCTGCCTGGTGCAGGAACAGGGGCTCAGGAAGTAATTACTGACTGAGGTTTGAGGAAGGCAAGTCAGATCAAGATCTCATCTCCTTCCCCAGCATCTGTAGGAAGAAGACCTTGCTGAAGAAGGTTGCAGGTTGGAGTGTTCCTGGGAGAGGCTGGGCCTCAGGGTGGGGCTCAGCAGGCCAGGGACTCTGGAGCCCCACAGCCGAGCAGAAGCTGAGCTGCATTTCTTCCTAATTTCCACTTCTGCATGGTGATATTTAGCTGTTGAACTCTTGTAAAAATCCCTGTGGGGGACGTCACCCTTAAAGCTGGCCACACTGTGTTGTAACTCCTTCTGCTGAACCCCAGTAATCCAGTGAATCCTGTGACTTGTTATCCCCTCCCCTTTGATATTTTCTAGGCCATGTCTCGCGGCACAATAATGTTCAAGGTGGTTCCAGTTTCTGCCCCTCCTGTTAATAGCCAGACGATGGTAAGAAAGTACTGAGCCTTCATAATCACACATAGTAAATTCTCAAGTAACAATGAGAGTGACTTAATATTTTGTATCATACTGCCCTTCTCTATAATGTGTTGCACATTTTTCAATACTGATGATATGAGGGGCAAATGAGTAAATGAATACGATAAAAGGAGATGGGGTACAAGTTTAAAAAGTAACATCAAGAATGGGAAACACTTGAGCAAAAATTTCTCAGCACTGAGAGATTCTGTTGCCAAAGTCACTTTATTCATGGATCTTAGACTCAGTTAAAGAGGCAAGTTCTCCCTTTTGGAGAGTGTGGGGAGACAAGATAGGAACAGAGGTGGAGGAGTGGAGAAATGGCTTTAAGTCTTGACAACCCATGGGCAAGGGTTCTTCTGATGGGGCCATTTTGCACCTGCTGTCAGGTGTACGTTCGTGCCATGACTGAGTACTGGCCCCAGGAAGATCCCACCATCCCCTGCATGGACGCAGGGTTGCCTTTCCAGAAGGGGGACATCCTTCAGATTGTGGACCAGAACGATGCCCTCTGGTGGCAGGCCCGGAAAATCTCAGACCTTGGTACCTGTGCTGGACTAATTCCTTCTAACCACCTTCTGAAGAGGTAAGAAAACTCTCACTCCTGGACTCAGGACTGAGCCATCAAGAAATAAAATGTTTTCTCAGGCTTCTGTTATTGCAGTTAAGATGAGGTAAGGGAGAAAAGTAGATGGATAAACACATACCCTGGTCTATAAATCCAAAAGTCAACTTTTCCATATACCCTAAGCATCTTAAATACCAAGAGGATCAGAATAATCATACCAGCTAGAAAAGAGAGAAAAGCACTTGTGAAACTCAAACTTAAGAAGATAGTTCTAACTCCCTTTATTAATCATTTGAGGCTGAGTTGAAACCTCAGTTGAATCTGAACCCATGACCCTCACTTTTATGTTCTTGAGGTCTGAGGGAATGAGTAAAGATAGAAGATAGAAAAAGGTCCAAGGCTCAGCCAGTGATAAGAAACCAAGAAGAAGGAAAGGAACTAACAATAGAAATTAAGAAGGAGTGACCAATGAGGCAAGATCATCAGCTGCTGTAGAGTGGACTGAGAAGTAACCATTGGATCTGGCAATATGGCAGTCATAGGTGATCCTGATAAAAGCAATTTCAGTGGAGAGATGGGACCAAAATCCTAGCAGAGTGGGATTTGAAGAAATTGATGGCATGAGACATTTTAGTACAAAGCAGAGCAGAGCAATGGAGAAATAGCTGGAAGGGAAAGTGGAGTGGTATGAGAGAACTTTTTTAGATGAGGGATGTAATGCTGGTGGGAACAGTCCAGTGAGAGGGAAAACTTTTATGATAGAGAAAAAAGAGAAAAGAATTGCTATGGTCAATGTCCTTGAGCAGACAGAAGGAGAGATGATCTAGTACAGTTGACCATTGAACAATGCAGGGGTTAGAGGTGCTGACTCTGTGCAGTCAAAAATCTGCATATGACTTCTGACCCCCCCAAAGAACTACTGATAGCCTACTGTTGACCAATAACATAAACAATGGATTCACACATATTTTGTATGTGAAATGTATTATATACTGTATTCTTACAGTGAAGTAAGCTAGAGAAAGAAAATATTAATAAGAAAATTATAAGGAAGAGAAAATACATTTACAATACTGTACTATATTTATTGAAAAATAATCCATATATAAGTGGGTCTGTTTAAAGGTCAGTGATATACAAGTAGAGGGGTTGATCCTATACCAGATCATAAACAGTAATAGTAACAGCAGAGAATCCAGAGTGTGTGGACACAGTTGAAGGTGAGGGATATGGTGGGAGCTTGTGCAAGTTCTCTATCAACCACTCTGATTTTCTCAGTGAAATAAGAAGTAATGTCATCTGAGTATTGTGTAAGAATCACAGACCCATACCCCTGAAACAAATAATACATGATATGTTAATTTTTTAAAAAGAGAGAAAAAAAAGAAGTAATGTCATAGGCTGAGAGTAAGGGTGGGTAAGGAGGTGCTGGGAAGGAGAGAGGAGAAAGTTTGAGATGTTTCAATGAGAACCTGAGAGCAGATGCATTAGGTAAATTTAGTATGATCAGCAGGAAGGGCCCACTTAAGGTTAAATGTCATGCATTTGAAATGATTCCGGTCAGCTTCCTGGTGGGCAGGTCTAGATGAGGCAGAACTGGATTTAACAGTAAATGTAGAAAAGGCCATGGGAGTGATGGACCCTGATGCTTAAGCTAGTAAGGAGAGAAATGAAGGAGTAAGTGTCAGTGGAAAGGAAGTAAAATCAATGGATTATAGGTCCATAGGAGGTCAGCAGATTATTGGCGCTGGGGAGACAGGAGGTGTTGGGAGAAGAAAGGGATGCTGGAAGATGAGATTGAGTTACTAATACTGGAAAGGTCTGGGGTATGACCCTGGGAGGCACTGGCTGAGGTCGAACGAACACTGAGTAAGAACTGGGAGGCAGGAGATCAAGGAACCCAGAGGCAAGGGTGTTAGGAGGGGCATTTGTATGCCTAATGGAATCCTGGAAAATCCTGACAGAACCATGTTGAGAGCATGAGAGTGAGCAGGTGTAATCTGGAGATGGCCAAGACCCCACCTCTGGGCCTGTGGAGCTGAGGCCAAGTGCACCGAGTGGTGGCCTGCAAGCAGCTACCAGAGCCCGTGTGCACCTGTCCTCATGTCCACAGTTGGTGAGGTCAGCTGGCAGCTGGAAATCTCCACCAGGAGAGTACTGACTCAAAAGAAATCAGCAGACCTGCTCATCTGCTCCTTCCCTTCCCCCAGAGCTGGTTTACCAGCAACCCACTGGCGGTGGGAGCGGAAACAAGCCACCTCTTGAAAGGTGAAGGGAAACAGTTCCCTCAGGAGCCCTGGGCTTGGGTTAGAGCGAGGTGAAGGGCTCAGTCACGCACAGTAGAGGCTCAAGTCTGGGAGACGTGGCTGAGGATTGACGTCGAGATCCACAGGGTGTGGGAAAGGGCTTTGGGGAGGGCGGGTGGTGGACGGAGCCTTACAGGAATTAATGTGCAGAAGATAAGGGATGACCTGAGCTGTAGGGGCTGACAAGAACAGGGATAAAGGCCTCATGAGATTAGTCCTTGCGATCTCAAGACACAAAGCAGTGAGGAGGCTCGGTGGGGGTCTTGCAAGGCACCCTCAGAAATGACAGGTTTATTGGGTTAATGCACAAATAAAGGGTACAGAAGGAGCAAAATCCATGTGGCTCTAAGGGAACTGTGGAGCATCAACAGCCCGAGAGGGGAACCGGGACGTGCTGTGAAGGCTCAGAGGCAAGCTAAGCCTCTGGAGACGCAGGGGCCCCTGGGCCAGTTACTGAAGCTCTGGGGCCTGTGAACACTTGGTCACCGGCCAGATTTTCAGTAGAAGTCAAAGTTGCTCTGAAAGGATCTTGTGAGGCAGGAAAAAAGTGCTAAGAAAGCCTGTGTATTTGGAGAATATTTAATGATGTGTTTGGAGAAGAAATCTCCCTCTTTACATGGGTGGAGGCAGCAGAATTCTAGGAAACACTGGATCTATTTCACCCGCGTTAACCTGGGTTGACTTTTTTTTCCCCCTCACGGGGTATTTCTTTGTGCGTAGGAAGCAACGGGAGTTCTGGTGGTCTCAGCCATACCAGCCTCACACCGGGCTCAAATCCACCATATGTGAGTGTGCTGATCCCTCAGACCCAGCGTGTGCATCACGGGGAAGCCTGCTCCTTCTCTCCCAGGGCTGGCTTCCTGCCCAGGAGAGGATCTCTAAATGTCCCCCCTGCCCAAATAGCCTCCTGGCAGCCATCTGAAATCCTACTCTGCACGTTCATTCCTTTGGATTTAGAAGAGTTTATGAAAATGCACATGTTCATGTGTTGGTGACACCTTCAGTGAAGGCTCCCCAGCTTGGAGGCGCCCAAGGTCTCTACAGCTAGCATATGCGTTACACCCATGCTGGCGAGCAAAGCTGCATGGCTGCACACAAACCTTCATCTGCACTCTATGCAGGGGGGGTAAATTTCACTCTATTTGGAAGCTCTGCTGAACACTTCTATGTGCCTTTGATGAATAAACATGGGACTGAATTATTACTTAATCAATGCAGCTTGTCTGCTAGACAGTCTTATTCAAATGGCAGCAGAGGAACGGCTAGTAAAGGGATCCATGGTGGCAAAGGCTTGTAAATTACTTTTTGCCTTAATACGTGGGGGCTGCAGCTTGGCAGAGCTCAGCGGGAACTGTCTGTGTGAGACCCTTCAGAAAGGGCCCGAATTCTGGCGCCTGGGAAGGAGGGGAGGAAGGGGAAGGGCAGCAGGTGGGGGGAGGGGCGCCTGGCCGGAGGCTGCAGGGGGACGAGCCTAGACAACAGTGTCCGTGTCACAGATCAGCCCATGGCCAGTCCTCGGTCACTTTATTACTCACTTTCTCGGCCCCACATTAGTTTTTCTTTTCTTTTTCTCTTGAAAACTTGTGATGACAACTATAGAGAGAGTTTTGAAAGAAGAAAACCCCCTTATGAGTCCTTTGTACTGGCAATGTGTTCACATCACCTTATGGATACATATCTTAGGCTAACAGCTGCAATACCACTTCCTATCTTTTTTTCACCTAACATTTTATGAGAAACATTTTTCATGATATGATCTTCATAGTGATATTTTAGTTATTTCCCCTGTGTTTTGGAGAAGTTTTTTTGTTTTTTCATTTTTTTGTTTTTTACCAAACCAGACTGATGTGCTTCTTTAATTGGCTTTCCTATTTCATTTCTCAAAGGCACATGGAAATGCTGCTGAAACTTCTAATCAGCATCCGATAACTAGTACGCCACCGGTTGATGTTTAATTTGCTCATGTAGCCTGATTGCGATTTACATTAGACTTTTGGAAAAGTCCATCCTGAAAAAGAATTTGTAGCCCCTATTATTATACTCACGTATCTCTAACTCCAAGAACCCCAAGGACAGAGTTGCTGACTTAAAGGGTCGCCTCTCACAGGGATGTTTCTGATGGAGCATGATCAGTTTCTAAACTATTAGATCATTTCTTTTCTTTGTAACTGTTTTAGATGGTGCTGCCATAAGTATTATTTTGTATCTTTCTGCTTAATGTTACCATAGGGAGAGAATAATCTCAGGAGCAGGTTACTGACTCCAGAGGTATAGGCAATTTTATTTAACAAGACTTAATGAAAAATTTGCAGGTAACTATTAAAAATATATTGACTGAAGATGCACATACAGTTGAATGGTCGCCTTTCTCTTTTCTTCCTTCCTCCCTCTCTCCCTTCTTTCTTTCTCTCTCTTTCTCCCTTCGTTCTTTCCCTCCTTTCTTTCTTCTTTCTTTCTTTCTTTCTTTCTTTCTTTCTTTCTTTCTCTTTCTTTCTTTCTTTCTTTCTTTCTTTCTTTCTTTCTTTCTTTCTTTCTTTCTTTCTTTCTCTTTCTTTCTTTCTTTGTTTCTTCTTTCTTTCTTTTTCTTTCTTTCTTTCTTTCTTCTTTCTCTTTTTTCTTTCTTTCTTTCCTTCCTCTCTTCCTCCCTCCCTTTCTTCCTCCCTCCCTTCCTTTTATTCCAGTCAAAATTTGAGTTCCTAAAATATGCTGAAAGTGCATTAACTCAGAAATGAGTAGAACACAACACTTACAGAACTTCAGGGTGGGAAGGGAGTAGATTTGCCAGAAGCAACATCTCCATTTCCAACAAGATTCATAAATGTATCAGTTTCTATAGGATATTTATTTTATCATTTTGTTACCAAATCTCTACCAAATTTCTATAGATTAAGCCCAGAATATTACTATAATTAATTTTTATTTTCTTATTATAAGTTAACCTGAGAAACTATAGCATTAACCAATGTGCTCTCTTTCTTTCCGCTTCCATTATTTGTCTGTACCCAGCAATTTCTATGGAAGAAGGTAAGAAATAGTATTTGAAAAACAACAACAACAACAAAATAACCTCATCTCCAAAGTCTCATAGAAATTTTGTATAGTTTTCTTAATTCACTTTAATCCAGTTCAGCTATTTATTAAGCTCTTCCTGTATACCTATTAGTGTGCCAGTCACTAATACCCTAATTTGTAAAAAAGATGTCAGTCAAAAGAAAGCACACATGATGTTATTGTCCTAACACTGAGAGGAATAGGAGAAAAGAGAGAGAACATTTAGATGCAGCTCATGGTAAAAATTCAATGAAAGTTGTGAAACTGGTTCACTGTTTTGTGTCACCTGTTTTACACACACGGTCTTAAAAATAACCCTGTAAGGAATTTCAATTGTTCCCATTTTATAGATGAAAAGACTGAGGTTCAGAGAAGGTAAGAATATTGGGAGGTATTGCAGGCAGTGTAATCTGGATTGAAGCTTCTGTCTGAAGGGCCCTGCATCAAGGGCAAATGGAACTTCCAGGTATTATTTCTCTCTTTCTCCAAGCCCAGACACGCAGGTGACTCATTCTGATGCCAAACACACACACTCACAAAAGCTGGAAAGCAAGATGCTACCTGCTTGTGGAGGGGGACAGAAGAGAAGAGCAGTCCCCTAGGCATCCCTATATTTCAGTCCTAAAATTCAGTCCTGAATCAGGCCACCATCACAAGACACCACAGACTGGTGGTGCCTTAAACAACAAACACTTATTTTCTCAGGGTTCTGTCAGCCCGAAGTCCAAGATCAGGGTTCGGTGGGTCTGGTTTCTGGTGAGGCTTCTTTCTGGCTTGCAGATGTTTGCCTGTCCTTGGGCCCCAATCTTATGACCTCATTCAACCTTAAAGGCCCTGTCTCCAAATACAGCCAAACTGGGGGCTAGAACTTCAACATACAAATTCAGGAGGGATAACAATCTGTCCATAACACGTACCCTTGCCAACAGTGTGGAATTGTTGATTTTGAGAGAGTAAAATCAGTGTCTGTCTTAGATCCCAGAGTTGCAAGTTAGAAAAATCAGGGCTACTTGTGTTGTTATTAGAAATTCACTCCTGTCCTCTGTAAAACAGGAATAATAATTGTAGTTTTCCTTTGCTTAAAAAAAAAAACACATAAAACCTCTAGTTATGTCTTAGGAACTAATGGATTCACTGTTGTTATAAAATACTGATTTGAAAAGTAATGTCTCAATAAATAAAAGGAATTGAATGACAGCTATGTTACTTGTTTACCTGTGTCCCTATCTCTATAAAGCAGTATTATTTTTTATATTGCACATTTTACTTAGATAGTTAATGATATGGTCTGTAAGGAGGTGGTGATAAGTTTATTATGACTTGATAATATTATAGCTTATTATAAGGACAATTACTTGCAGTTTTGGAACATGATAAGACTTATTTATTAAACCACTATTTATTGTGGTGCCTGGGTGGCTCAGTTGGTTAAGTGACTGGTTCTTGATTTCAGCTCAGGTCATGATCTCAGGGTCCTGGGACCAAGTCCCTCATCGGGCTCTGTGCTCAGCTCAGAGTCTGCTTGAGATTCTCTCTCTGCCTCTCCCTCTGCCTCCCCACTAAATAAATAATAAATAAAATATTTTTTAAAACCCCTTTAAACTACTATTTATTGATCACTTGGGAAGTGCTGGGCACTGTGTTAGGTGCAAGATGTACAGTGCTGAAAAAAATTACTTTTTCCAAACATATATTCAAATCAACTATTTTGATATTAAAAGGAAAATTCAATTCAATTTAATAATTTATCAGGTACCTATTACGTGCAAGACACTGTACTAAACTCTGTAAAGTATAAAAATTAGCAAAACAGTTTCTGTTTTCAAGGAGCTATCTAGGAGGGCAAATAAAGCAAATATGCAAGTGATTATATTACAAGGTGGAATAGATGTGCAGTAGCAGCGAATTCAAGGTAGGAGGAAGAAAATGCTATGCAGTTCATGGCAGAGATATTCATTTTAGTTAGTGTTTGAGATGGACCTTGAAGCATTACAGGCAAAGGAAACAGCATAAGCAACGGCACAGAGGAGGCCTGATGGAGGCCACTCTAATGGGGGTACAAGACATGTGAAGGAAAGAAGTAGCTAATAGCCTTCAAAGTTGGGCTTGGGTCATGTTGTAGAGGGTTTTGGATATTAGGATGGGATGGGTGGTTTTAAAAATTATAGTCTCTTATCCTGTTATGGATAGCCCAGCTAAAGGTAAAATTAGTTAACATTTATTGCATACTTACCATCTGTCTGAGCTTTTCATTATCTCAATTAATCCTCTTATATGGTAGGTATTACTACCGTCACCATTTATAGATGGAAAACTGAAGCTTGAGGTAAACTAGTTGGCCCACTCAAAAAGATGATTTTGTTTTTTTAAGATTTTATTTATTTGTCAGAGAGAGAGAACACAAACAGGGGGAGGGGCAGGCAGAGGGAGAGGGAGAAGCAGGCTCCCTGCTCAGCAGGGAGCCCGATGCGGGGCTCCATCCCAGGACCCTGGGATCATGACCTGAGCCAAAGGCAGACGCTTAACTGACTGAGCTACGCAGGTGTCCCAAAAAGCTGATGCTTTTTTTTTTTTTTAAAGATTTTATTTATTTATTTGACAGAGAGAGAGAGAGAAAACGAGTGAGAGAGAGGAGAGGGAGAAGGAGAAGCAGACTCCCCACTAAGCAGGGAGCCTGATGCGGGACTCGATCCCAGGACCCCGGGATCATGACCTGAGCCGAAGGCAGATGCTT